CCAAGGAGATAAGTAACTATACAACCTTTAGAAGACACCTGACGGGAAGTTTTTTTAAAAAAAGTTTCATGTTTTATTATGGTTTTATATTGGTTGGAAGCCACCCAGAGTGGCTGGGGAACCCAATCAGATGGGTGGGGTATAAATAAAATACTAATACTAATACTAATACTAATGTGGTACCTCGGGTTACATCCGCTTCAGGTTACAGATGCTTCAGGTTACAGACTCCGCTAACCCAGAAATATTACCTCAGATTAAGAACTTTGCTTCAGAATGAGAACAGAAATCGTGCTCTGGAGGCACGGTGGCAGCGGGAGGCCTCATTAGTGGTGCTTCAGGTTAAAAACAGTTTCAGGTTAAGAACGGACCTCCAGAACGAATTAAGTGCTTAACCCGAGGTTCCACTGTACTTGTTGTAGAATAGGACATTCCTATTTCCATGGGAAAAATATAGGAAGGTTTGCAAAGGTTGGGGCAGGGCAATTGCCTTCAATTTGCTTGCCATTCTTCTTTTGTTGGAATCTTGTCATCTTTCCATTTTGGGGCTAATACACCAAACTTGTCCAAGATCATTTTGTTAAGGATCCAGAAGACCCAAAGTCTTTATGGACCATTTTTCATATCTAACGGCTAGGACACAGGACTGGCCAGGATGGTCTTCCTGTTATATTCTCTGGGCTTTACGAGGCATATGACCCTCACCTAAGCCTACTCCAGCTGAAGCATCACACACCTACTCCCCAAGCTAGCGAGCCCAACCTGGGCTATAGCACTATTCAGGTCAACTTTACCAGGTTTCATTTCCCTTCCTCTCTGAAAACCTTACTTTGGCAGGTCTGCTGTAATCCTGAAGTTTCTGTGTCCAAGCCTCTTGTACCACAGATGAACACAGGTTGCACTTGCACAAAAGGACATAACAAGAGAAACTAAATACAGTAATATGAGGCAAGCCTGAGGTAAGAAACAAAACGAGAGAGTTGGTTCCCTCTTAAATGACATTCTTAACTGAACACACCAGATACCAAGCACTCTACTATTCAAATTAGGCCCCAGTGTTTTTCTTACAATCCCTTTCTCAATGTGCCTATTTTTAATCCATCAGTTTTAATCTACCTTGTAAATTCTCAAAACTTTCTTATTTGGAAAATCTAGAAGTTTTGAACCATCTTGTTTGTTCTCAGTAACCAAATTTATATTGTCAACATATACAAGCAGGAAAGTTATTTTCCCATTTTGTTGTTTTCCCCAGGAGACATCGGTTGAAATGGACCACATATATCAGTATGAATAAGTTGCAAAGGCTCTTTCCTGGCTTTGCTTGGGGATAGAAGGTCTTGTTCCTTTGCCCACCAAACAACTTTCACATATTTCACTATCCAGGCCAACTTGACATGCTTTTCATTTCTGTTCCTCTCACCAAACCTTTCTTTGGCAGGTCTGCTCAAATCCTGAAGCCTCTGTGTCCAAGCCTTTGGTGCCACAGATGAACACAGGTTGCACTTGTAGCTCCTTTTCCTTGCACAGATATTTTGTTTGTTTTTTAAAATAAATTTTATTGCGTTTTACAATTTTCACATTTGACACAATCATCCTAAACACAGTAAAAAAATTCTAAATCCAAATCTCACCCACCCACCCCTCCCTTAACTTCCCTCAACCTCCTCTTCTGGTTCTTTAAATATTTGCTACTTCTGCTTATTTTATTTTACCTTAATTTTAAAATGTTAATATCTTTCACCTAAATATTCTTATCATTTTTATAATCTTCCCAAATTACATCTTGTGCTTTGTTGTTTTCCCAATTATTGCTCCTTATCTTATACACTTTCCCCCTTAATTGTAAGTGTTTACTCAAACCCTGCTAATGACTCCACTTCTTTACAGTATTTTTGTAAGTACATCATGAACGGTTCCTAATCTTTTTTAAAGTCTTGTCCTTGTCTCTGAGTTTTCTCATAATCTTCGCCATTTCTACGTACAGTGGTACCTCGGGTTAAGTACTTAATTCATTCCAGAGGTCTGTTCTTAACCTGAAACTGTTCTTAACCTGAAGCACCACTTTAGCTAATGGAGCTTCCTGCTGCTGCTGTGCCACCGGAGCACGATTTCTGCTCTCATCCTGAAGCAAAGTTCTTAACTCCCATCGTTCAGCCCGGACACTGAGGTCCAGCTCCGAGGGCCTTCTGGCGGTTCCCTCACTGTGAGAAGTGAGGTTACAGGGAACAAGGCAGAGGGCCTTTTTGGTAGTAGCACCCGCCCTGTGGAACACCCTCCCATCATACGTCAAGGAAATAAACAACTATCTGACTTTTAGAAGACTTTTGAAGGCAGCCTTGTTTTGGGAAGTTTTTAATGTGTGATGTTTTATCGTATTGTATTTTAATATTCTGTTGGGAGCCGTCCAGAGTGGGTGGGGAAACCCAGACATATGGGCAGGGTATAAATAATATATTATTATTATTATTATTATTATTATTATTATTATTATTACTCCCCTTGGTATTTGACCTGGTGACAAGCCGATTCAGAAAGCATATTCCTCTCCAACCTTCTGACCTCATTTTACTGAGGTGTTGCCATTTACTCTGGGTCCAGCACACTCCTGGCTTTTTAAATCAAGCTAGCGTGTAGTTTCTTGAGAAATGCTACTGCTTGAAGCATTTCCCCTCAAGTCCCAATTGCTGTTAAGCTGAGGTGGTACCATTGAGAAAGCCATTGCACTTGTGCTGAGGACAGCACACACAGAGGTAATAGCTTTGCGAATAGGAGTCAGGGGCTGTTTGGTTCTAACTAGCCATAGTTTACCACCTTTCTGTTTAAGTTCGGTTACGTACCACTCTTCCATTCAAGTAAACGGCCAATGCACCATCTTGCAGCCCACCAAGCCAAACTTGGGCCACTCACATATTTTGATCACTATTTGCAAAGAACATGAGCACTCCAAGCCTTGTTTTTAAAAATCTGCTTTTAAAAAAATATCACTTTATGATTTAAATATTTGGATCTTTTCATATCAGCTTTCAAGATTGCGCCGGACTAAGATGCCTCGGCGGCAGAGATGGGTTATGTTACGAGTTCCAGAATGTTAATTGCTACATTTGTTCAACTTAAGCTTGTCATCCTGCACTTAGTTTCTCAAGCAAAAGGTCACTAGAGCTTATACGCAAGAAACAGGTGCCAGGATCGCAAATGTATGGCTATGATCCAAAGAGCTGGTTTAGTCGCCACAAGGGATTCTGAGCTTTCAGTGTTTTGTTTGTAACTTAATTTCTTTCCGGGAGAGGTACCCAGCCTGTAAAACAAACTGCCTTGGAAACTCACATTTTCATGAAAGGGATTTACCAGCAGGGGCAGAGAAAGGGGGGTGCGGTGGGGGAGCCGGGTGTCTTTGCTGAGGGGGGTGACATTTGGCACGCCGCCTGCGCTGGACATTGTGGGCATATGTTCCACCGCTGTTTACCAGGCAGCAAGAGTGGAGGTGAGAGCTACCATTTGAGAAATACCAGCCAAAAGCCCACTTGAGATGGCTTGTAACTTATGCTTTGTTGTTCTTGTACTTTTTGTCATGCTAAATCTCTGCTCAGGTTCTCTCACCAAAGAGTACTTGACACAATGGATCTTGGCTTCCGACATTTCACATGCTTTCTGAATGCAAGTAAAGAGGAAGACTATCTAGAAGGGACAGTGGTGTAGCGTGGGTTGCCAGTGTCCAGGACCATACGATGTGTGTGTGGCAGAAGGGAGAGAAACGGACACAGAATGCATGCACATTTAACTGCTTAATGGCATCCATATCACCCAGGAAATCACAGCCGCAGAGTTAAGAAACAAAGGGTGACGGGGGCAACCCAGTCAGATGGGCAGGATGCGTAAATAATAAAATTATTACTGTTATTATAAAGAGTCATTCTGTTGTCACTTCCTGGATCGCATGGAGAAGCCACTTTCAATGAGCAAAGCAACTGAAGAGCACGGCTGTATTCAGGCAGCAATGGGTGTTGAAATTGTGTGCCTCCTAGCCATTTTACACCTAGGGGCAACAGCCCTTGTGCCCTGCCCCCCCCACTACACCACTGGGAAGGTAGTTTCCTAGTTGGGGTGTGACCACTAAGGATGCCTTGTCTCTGCTGCCCCATTCCATGGGCTATTCTTACTGGTGGGACTACAAAGAGAGCTGCTCCCTTAGATGGCAAATTTTTGCTTCATGTGTACTCAGGAAAGTGCCATTTATATTACATGCAGCCTGATTCTATCCTTTTTACTTGAGAATTAATCAGCAGGATGATCCCAAGTAAGTGTCGTAGGGTTTCACCTTCAGATGAATTAATTCTCCCCCCGCCCTGAGTGTAAACTTTCACTGGTGACAAAAAAATTCATCCAAGCTACAAATCAAGTTGACTTTTGGTTTGCGGTGCTCAGAGAGGTATTTTAGAGATTGCCCTTAACCTTTTCATCAAGAGGAACAACTTTTTTAAAAAACAGCAATGTCAAAAAAGAATTTGCTATTATATATGCAGGCTATTGAGTTGAACAATTGTGGGAAAATGGTTCTGTAACATCCATCTGGAGAATATAAATTTGTCAAGCCTGTGTTTGTGCGTGTGTGTGTGTGTGTACACACACACACACAGAGAGAGAGAGAGAGAGAGAGAGAGAGAGAGAGAGAGAGAGAGAGACAGGAGTTTATTTTGAACCAAATATATGGGAGAGGCTTTCAGACTCTCCTAAAGTTAGAACCTCATTTCTGCCAAAAGAAACAATGCAGCAGGGAGTAGAATACCTTAGCTAGACAGCTGTCTGCTAGCAAAAATGCCCTGTTCTCATGCCCAGTGGTCCTGCTAAGCATATGTACATCAACAACCTCTGCTTGATGGCAATAGATTGGGGTCTTCCAAGCTGATGTACTCATTAGATAAATATACAGTAAGTGGTACAACATGGAACAATTAAGCCAGGCTCTGTAGCTCTTGTGAAGGCAATGGAGGTGCTGTGTATCAGCTGCAGTGTTAGCTCAGTTGGTAGAGCATGAAACTCTTTATCTCAGGGTTGTGGGTTTGAGCCCCACATTGGGTGAAAGATTCATGCATTGCAGGGGGCTGGCCTAGACCATGGGTAGGCAAACTAAGGCCCAGGGGTCGGATCCGGCCCAATCGCCTTCTAAATCTGGCCTGCGGACAGTCCAGGAATCAGTGTGTTTTTACATGAGTAGAATGTGTGCTTTTATTTAAAATGCATCTCTGGATTATTTGTGGGGCCGGCCTGGTGTTTTTACATGAGTAGAATGTGTGCTTTTATTTAAAACGCATCTCTGGGTTATTTGTGGGGCATAGGAATTCGTTCTCTCCCCCCCAAAAAAATATATAGTCCAGCCCCCCACAAGGTCTGAGGGACAGTGGACCGGCCCCCTACTGAAATCGTTTGTTGACCCCTGGCCTAGACGATCCTTGTGGTCCTTTCCAACTTTACAATTCTATGTCAGGGATGTTATGTACTGAAGTTCTCACCCTGGGCCAGCAGGGGGACACTGTAGATAGTTCAGGTCCACATATGCAAATAAGGGATCGAAAGTGACGTTCAGTGATTGGATAGTTACAGAAAGTTGTTACAGTTACGTGGTACTGGAGCTCTATATAAGCAGGCTGGCTGAACCCTTCAGTTCAGTTCTGTTCTGGCCTGTGAATAAACAAGAGCTGTTTGAAGAATCGCTGTGTCGTCTGATATGTTCACCCACAACTTAACAAGGGAAATCCAGTTTTTCCTCTGATACCCTTGGGTAGCAGCCAGGACCTCAAAGCCCTGACAAGTCTCACTGCAGGTTCCCCTCTACCCAAAAGCTCTGGGCAGCTGGTTCTATCTGCTATTTACATTTTCCCCAATGCCCCAGAGAGATGTTACATTGAGGGCATCAGGGGGAAATGAAACGAAATGGGTGGCTGAACCCAGCCATCTGGCACTGTCTGGATGCTATCCACTGATGGAAGGAAGACCACCAAGGCCGTACCCTCCAACATTCCTCAGATGAAAATAGGGACATTTCCCACTCCCCCACAACTGAACCCCATACTTTTGTGCCCCCACCCTGAGCATTTCCTATCAGAAGAAGGGCGAGTGCCACCATCAGCGGGAAACAACACACACACACTCTCCATCGTTCTGAGAAACCCCATAACCCTGATTTCATTTTATTCTTTGGTAGTTTGGATTTGATATTCCGCTTTATCACTACCTGAAGGAGTCTCAAAGCGGCTAACATTCTCCTTTCCCTTCCTCCCCCACAACAAACACTCTGTGAGGTGAGTGGGGCTGAGAGACTTCAAAGAAGTGTGACTGGCCCAAGGTCACCCAGCAGCTGCATGTGGAGGAGCGGAGATGCGAACCCAGTTCACCAGATTACGAGTCTACCGCTCTTAACCACTACACCACACTGGCTCTCACTGGTAGATTTGCAGAAAGAAAGAAAATGGTCTAAGAGAAAACTATATGAAAATGATATATCGACAGTATGTAACACCGAGTAAGCTGGCAAAAATGCATAAATCTAAATCAAATAAGCATTGGAAATGTAAAGAGAAAGACGGTTCTTTTTATCATATGTGGTGGTCTTGTAGTAAGGTTAAAGCTTACTGGGAAATGATATATAATGAATTGAAAAGGATGTTTAAAATAACATTTGTAAAAAACAAACAAACCAGAAGCTTTTCTTTTGGGAATTATAGGGACAGAACTATCAAAACTGTATAGAAACTTATTCATGTATTCTACTACAGGGACAAGAATGTTACTTGCCCCAAAATGGAAAGAAGCAGAAGTCCCAGCAAAGGAAGAATGGATGCAAAAACTTATGGAATATGCAGAAATGGCAAAACTGACCGGAAGAATAAGAAATCAAGATAACAAACTTTTTATATATATAAAATAATGGAAATGGTTTATTCAATATTTACAGATAAATTGTAAACAGATAAGAACATTGGCAGGATTATTGTAATAACCTGCAGTTTTATAATAGTATATATTTAAAGTAGATGAATAAATGAGCAAATTAAGTTAATTTGGAAATGCAGAAGGTATTAAAAATAAATTTAAGGAACCACAGAGAGAGGGGGAAGGAAGTCAAGTTTTGAAATGTTAAAATGATTGTAAAGTTAACGAAATGTATCAACCTGAAAAGCATAAATAAAATTAAAAAAAGAAAAACACCAATGAAAACCAATAAATAAATTTTAGGAAGCGGTTGCTTTCAGTGGAGGACATCTAGATTATGTACAAATGTCTGCAGGTATCTTGGGACAATCTTGATTGCCTCCTGCCTCATGTTGATCATGCTGTGACACTGGAAATCAATGCATAAGGATAGGTCAGGCTCCCCGTTAATACCAACAGAACATGGTATGCAACTTTTTATTAGGGAGGTGTATTTGTGTTGCAACGTCAGTTCATGCTATCATTTCACTTGTGGTCTGTCACTCTTTCCCCCCGGCCACAGACAGCAAATTGCATCATTTGCCAAAAGCCCACCATTTTTCATGCCACTGCCAAGTCTATTCGTATTGGTGGAAATGGAGGCAACAGGAAAAAGCATTTTTAATTTTGATGCGTTTTAAATGAATATATTATGCTTCAGGGAAGTTTTTAATATTTAATGCTGTATTGTTTTTAACACTCGATTGGGAGCCACCCAGAGTGGCTGGGGAAACTCAGCCAGATGGGCGGGGTATTATTATTAATAATAATAATATTCAGTTCTTGGGAGATAGACACTTTTCAAAACTTCAGTACCACTAGGACCTCATTACCAGTTGATTGCAAAATGTTTCTGCCCCACTTCTTGACATTATATTTCCACGTGGAAGAGCTCTAAGCAGAGAGGCTATGAAGGAAAATCAAAATCACCACTGACTGGCAGAAAGACTATTCACATCCTGCCAGAGATTTAACATAGAAGAAGAGGTGGGCAGTTTTATCTAGTGGCTGTTCTCTAAGCATGTTCTTGAGAGTTAGTGCTGTGCTGCCAAACATCAAACCACAGAAAGACCTGTTGTTTTCCTATAACAAGTATCCTGACTCTTGACCAAAAAAATGGTTTATTTGTTTGTTTGGCTATTTAGCTGTTGTCTCATAGCAGCTTTCAAGAGGCTTGAAAGAGGTATCACAAGTAACACAAATAAGACATTTCTTAATGGGGATCATAATCATTGATTATGTTTGCTGTTATCTTAATATCCATGATGAGTTGAGGGGTCTTTAAAATTCTGGTTTTCTCCCTGCACCAGCATGTCTCAAAAAGTGCTAATTTGTGAATTAGTTTCACATAGATGCACAACTTAAGCTCCCGGCTTTTAGGGTGGGATGTTGCAAGGAATGAACAAACACATTTTTTGGAAACTCTTGTGAGAGGCCTTGGAATTGGCCAAACCCAATTTCCCAGTCTCAGTTTTCATGTAAAACAGCAAAGCAAGGACATGCCCCAAATTTTGCAATGATATATTGAAAGAGTGCAAGCAAAGGCATATCAGAAACCAGAGTGGTTCCTTAATGAGATTTTTGGCTGGAGGACAGGGGACATTTTTCTCAAAACAAAAGGACAGTCACGTCATTCTCAGGACGGGTGGCAACCCTAGAGGGGAGCGAACTTCAGTGCTCAACCCCCAATGAGTATAAGCAGTCTAAAGTGTATAATATCTCTATTGGGATCCAATAGGCTCAAGTCTGCATTTATTTATTCTGTGGAATATAGCAAAGTTGGGTAAAAGGATGGCTGCACCCTTTAGAGACAACTTCCTGGTTGTTAAACCTCTGGTGTAAACACAGGATGTGTGTCTGTAGGCCTGTTCTGTTGCAAATGTTCATTTTGCTGTCATCTTGCTTTTTTATGTTCTTTGCTCTTCTAATAACTTTATCAGACAGCACGTGATGTTTATTGTCTATGCATAATAGTCACAGAATCCAGCTTTTCCCGAAAGAGGCTTTGGTGCAGAGTACCTAGGACTTTTACTCTCAAAATACAAACATTTTCAGCATGTCAAGGCCTCCTGCATTTAAAGGGATGCCTTTTGTTTCTGACCTGATGTTGGAGAATAAAATGTCATGCAGGCAATTTGGTTTTTAAAAATAACTACATCTCTAAATAACAGTTTCATGGTAGCAATTTTTAAAAATAAGCAAATTAAATAACTGATAGTTTGCTGCACCATGATCCAGATGGCTAGCTGTATGTATAATAATAATAATAATAATTTATTTATACCCGCCCATCTGACTGTGTTTCCACAGCTACTCTGGGCAGCTCCCAACAGAATATAAAACACAATAAAACATTAAACATTAAGAACTTCCCTAAACAGGGCTTCCTTCAGATATCTTCTAAAAGTCAGATAGTTGTTTATTTCCTTGACATCTGATGGGAGGGTGTTCCACAGGGCAGGTGCCACTACCGAGAAGACCCTCTGCCTGGTTCCTTGTAACCACCCTTCTTGCAGTGAGGGAACCACCAGAAGGCCCTCAAAGGAGGACCTCAGTGTCTGGGCTGAATGATGGGGGTGGAGACGCTCCTTCAGATATACTGGGTAGACGCCATTTAGGGCTTTAAAGCTCAGCCCCAACACTTTGAATTGTGCTCGGAAATGCACTGGGAGCCAATGAAGATCTTTCAGGACCGGTGTTATATGGTCTCAGCGGCCACTCCCAGTCACCAGTCTAGCTGCTGCATTCTCGATTAATTGTAGTTTCCAGGTCACCTTCAAAGGTAGCCCCACGTAGAGCACATTGTGGTAGTCCAAGCAGGAGATAACTAGAGCATGCACCACTCTGGCGAGACAGTCGGCGGCCGGGTAGGGTCTCAGCCTGTGTACCAGTGTATCCATGTACACTTGCAGAAAACAGTTAGCAGCACATCTCAATGCCCAAGAGGTTTGTTATAGTATTGGTGGGCTACAGACCACAGCATAGGAACACAGGAATGCTTTCCTATGTTTGCAGATTATATGTGTGTTAATCACACACACAGAGAGAAAAATATGTAAACTGTGGAGACAAAAGGCCACGAATTGCACAAATGTACAGTCCGGGAAATT